TAGTGAATTTCATTTTTGCCGCGACCTGATAGGAAGGATTGAGAAGCCTGAAACTTTTTCGGATAGCTTACACGCTTAAGCACCTACATTCCAACACGACAAGTCACGGTATTGTGGAGCCCGTGGTGGTTGCGCCATTCGCATCGGGACGCACACGTTGTACGCAGGCTGCTTACCGTAGCTAGCCGTACGCAATGGCGCACACATTCGAACAGCTCGTCTAAATATCCCTTCCAAGCAACTTTTGTCGTCACATTCTCGTCCAATCCCTAATTTTACTTCTTTTTCTAAGCCTTATATTCCTCTGAATACACCGTCTAGCATTTTCTTCTTCATACACCGACTATCGCCTTTTTACCCTACTCTGGTCTATCACTTCCATTATTTGTCTGAAACTAGATATACCAAAATTATCGTGAATAGTGATTTGAAAAGGCCTCTCGAAACAGATTTTAATAGTAGATTGCCTTCCTAGTTTGCTCGAGCTCTATAATTGTCGTAACATGGACGTGATTTTTTACAAGCGTGGAGAAGATGCGCACAGGACAGCTCCTCTCGAGTTCGGAGCAGGATCGATTTTAAGGACAATGAGTGTGCAATGGGAAAGCACATGGCAATATGTAGCTTCACACAATCTATCTTTGCCGGGAAATCGTCAAAGAATAAACCTCTCTGATTGTTCTTGAACATTCTTGATTTCTACTCAATTAATACTGACTTCTATCTCAGTTTCCTACTTTCTCAATGTACGACTACGACATTTGTCGCCATCTCACAAATCTCAGCCAATTTCGATGTTATTCAGAAACGTTTACGTCTATGTAGTTTACCTTCAACTACAATTCTAAGAATCAATTTGTCTTTAGACGAAGTCTAGTCGTCATTGACTACGGCTTGAAGTCTGCGAAACCTGGCACATATCATGGGAATCAAAACAAAATACAATTCTTCTAGAATTCCTTCCAAGATCCATGAACCGACACTTCCTGAGGCCTCTGAATTGTCGCTAATCTTAAACGATAAGTTTCTCGTATTACTACAATTTTCAGATTCTATTCTATCCTCCTGTTCTATTCTAACCTACAATCTCGAGCTCTCACCCAGACGAAGAACGTTGTATGTCGTTCGATGTCCTAGCAGTGTGTACCTGTGTTAGAGAAATTCAGGAAAAATGCGGTTTTCCGTAAGTGTTTTTATTTATTACAACAATTCCTTCTCTTTTCAAATAACAGAATACAAACAAATAAATGTATGAAAAAAAATTAGAATGCAATTATATATTGAGTGAAAATGTAGTTAAGGGAAAGAGGTACCGCTTTTTTTCAATATTGAACTCTAGAGCGTAGAGAATAAGGGGTAGCGTACTTCACTTACGCTTAGAGAAGGTTCTTACCAGCGAAGAACTCCAAAGTGGTCGTCCTAAATTAGATCCGTACTGTTAGATCCGTGTTTACGGATGCTGATCTCAAATCCACTTTCTCAATTTGCTCAACGAATGTCTGAATGGAGTTATGATTGCGGTTTCAGATGGGCTTATCATTAGCGAACATAAATCACTTGGATGTGCCAGTGTCGTGCCTCTCGCACGACCTCCACGGTTTACAGCACGCGTCGGGAGGAAACCGCGCTCCAGAACTACTCGCAGTCGGTCCTACCGCAAAAGGCAGAAAATGCCAGAAGCGCGGGAAAACTAGTTATAACCAAATCATTTTGCTGCGTATCTCATTCGTCTGTATGCAATCGTCGGGCCTGGCTGGTGGATCGCCGCGTGCTCCCTTCTCTCTCGTCCCGTGGGCTCTTCCCATAACCGTCGATCATCGCACCTCAACTAATCTCCTCTTCTCCTCACTTCTCGTCTCGTGTCCAGGTTAGTCATCGCGTAGTTTGTTTTACTCATGCATCTCATTCACCATTTACACATCACTTGAAATTTCGTCATGTTGTATCCGTATGACATTGAAGTGGCATCCTATTATTTCCGTGTGGTTGAGCGGGATTAACCCCGAAAGTACTTTACACCTTGTAGTTGGGAGTTTAGTGGGACGTCAGGGGACTAGGCCCTTTCCAGTCCGAAGCAGGCTTCAAGCATTGCTCGGCACGGCCTGTCCCCTCAGGGGTGCGTGGGCACCCAAATACCCACGTTCTGCCGTGACTGGGATGCGGGAACGCCGATGCAGATAGCAGAAGGCACCTCGTCGCAACAGCCAGGTTCTGCAACGGCAGCTTG